CAGACCCAGGGCAGAGGGGCTGTGCCACCAGGGTCAGCTGCCACCCAAACCTCCAGCCAGGACTGATTTCATGTCAGATTTTTTTAATATTATAGCAGAGATACTACTCCTAGTCCCTGGTAAAGGACAGATCACCTCAGATACTGAGATGAGTCTTTTCTCTTGAACTGCCACGCATTAAAATGTCTGTCTTTTCCACACATACCGAGTTACATAATTGGCAGCCATGACTCAAAGGAATCCTTGCCCTGAGCCCTGAGTGTCGCTGCTTTTCCTTGTTGGAAAGGGCTGCAGCATCACCGAGCTTGGAAAACCTTGGGAGACAAATGGCCACATCTCACAATAGGTGTGAGTCAGTCCCTTTGCACTTAGGTGATTTGACTTCCTGTTGCTCTGCTGTTTTGGGGAACAAATCCTTATTAATGCTTTATCTGGAACATCCTCACTTCCACCAAAGGCTCCCTCTGTGCATGATTTTCCTGCCTTGTGCCGTGCAGCATTTCCTCTGCTCCCCAGCCCAGCTGCTCCTGCTCCAGCTGCCTGCGCCAGGACTTTTGGCACAGCTCCTTCATGAATGCTGCTCCAAGATGCTTGGCTTAACTTCATGGCACCCAGGAACATTTGTCCTTTCCCTCTAATCTCCTGAATTGCAGGAGTGTTCAGTATTTGGGCTTTAGATCCTGCCTGGCTTTTTTCAGGCGTAGAAAAAGGGAGAAGAGAAGGTGCTGGAGGGTCTGTTTAAATATAAAGAAAAAAAAGATAATGGTTTGGGGCTGTGCTGTCCTAGTTCTTTTTTTTTTTCCTTTTTTTTTCTTTTTTTTTTGTGTGTGTGCATGCATTTAACTTTTCTGTTTGAAGGGGGAGAAGGGACCACAGGGTTTGACCTGTGTATTTAACAAAAAGAGAGCACTGAATGAGAGGATTTCAAGAAGTTTTCGCAGGTGCATTAAAACAGTGTAAGATTCCTGTTTCCTTAATGAAAATGGGAGCAATGTGTATCCACAACAGATATGAAACAAAGAGMACTAAGAAATGTGTTGGCATTCAAAAGAACAGGAAAGTAACACTGTTCCTGTCACTGTTAGAAGGTTAAAATCCTGCCTGGCAGCCTATAAACTATTTAAATGAYCCTACAGAAATTCCACTGACTGAATCATTTTTGGGATTTATAGCTAAATCCTTCACCCCAATTGAAGACCCAATGTACTCACAGCCCTGCCGGAAAATACACCTTAATGAGGGGAAATTGTAAAACAGAACTGGGGAAAAAAAAAAAAAAAAAAAKCCTCTTCAGCAGAGGTCCTTGCTGCAGTCCTCACTTCACATGGCCATTGAGATGATGGCAGCTGTGCTGCTGTGATCATATGTGACCTAGATTTTCCTCACAGTAGTCCTGTGCTCTCCCTGATCTTGTGYAGGCCTGAATGAATTGAATAGGAACATTTCTGGATGCTTTCAGAGAGCAATGATATCTTTTTCTCTCTCTCTCTTGTTCTTCAAACCACAGCATCTGTTCCCCTTGTGGTTTTCTCCCTTTGCTCTCACTCGGTGCTCGTGAAAGAGGMCAGGGCTGGTGTAGCTTTAATTTGGGTAATGGTGGATGGGGAAATGAGGGCAGGTGTGATCCCTCCTTGGTGTCCTGTCACACAGCACAGGCTAAAGCTCSGAGTGTGTACAAAGGAGGGGACTGGGGCTTTGGGAAGGTCGAGGGGTGAGCCTTGCAGCATCAGGGAGCCCTGAGATTCTGCACACAGCATCAAGAATCATTTTAGGTACTGTTCACACAAAGCACTTCTGCCTGGGCTCGGAAATTACCCTATGCAAGCTCCTAATTCTCTGTGGGAGAAAAGCTGGAAAGGTTCAGCTCCTCAGTGCATGTGCAAGCTCTTGTTAATGCAGTTTGGCTGGGTTAGGTGTGGGCWGGAAGAAGCTCATTGTGCATCACAGTGCCCAGCAGAGCTGAGACYATCCCGAGCTCTGGCGTGGAGGTCCTGGGGCCACTTCTCCTCTGGGCATTGGCTTCTCACTGCCCAGCTCTGACACCAGCACTACCTCTGCAGGTGAAGGGAAATCTTGGTTAAGGTACAAGGAGGAAAAAAACCCCAAGATCTGGTTTGGTTTCCCTTGGGGGCACAGTGAGGCCTTGTATCAAAAAAGGCAGAAGTAATCTGTAGGGAAGTCTGCTCCTTTTTATTTCCTTCCTTCCTTCCTTCCTTCCTTCCTTCCTTCCTTCCTTCCTTCCTTCCTTCCTTCCTTCCTTCCTTCCTTCCTTCCTTCCTTCCTTCCTTC